GAAGATGAAGATAAGTCAACTATTTTGTCAGTATTTTGACGAATCATTAAAGCATACTGGAATAATAGTACAAAGATCTTCATTTACGAAAGCGACAATATGGTTGAATGATTTGGATATTAATATTAATATTAAAAAGTTCGGAATGACATCTCTCATTTATTTACGAATATTTAAGGTGGCAACAAATGTAACAACTGATAGATTTCTTCAGTACAGTTGTTTGACTCAAATAACCGGGTATGTTAATGCTAAAGTCATGACCAATAACTAAAGCTGAATCATAAATATTCCCACATTGTCATTCGCACTCGACCTCTCAATCACTTCATTAATATAGTACAAATATTTCACTAGAATAGGCTTAATGTATGAAATATAAAATAATCTTACTTAAAACTGTGACGTAAATCGATCCTAAGTGATCACAGCTGTCATGAGTTTTTCTTGGTTCTGATTGGTTAAATCTCAACCAATCACATAATGATAAGCACCAGATGATTTGTTGATCATGTAATTAACTTGGCTTTTTCTAAATATCCTATTTATAACAGGCAAGAATTAATAATTCACCTACCATTTAGGAGCGACAATCAGATACTTGAACCCAGGTTAAACGATACATTTTTTCTGCTGTAAGGAGTTTTGGGGAGATAGCTAATTTGCAAACGATACTTTCCACAGATTGACATCGGTTTGGGTAACATTCACAATGGACACTAAACTAGTATCCTAATCGTTATGGGCTCACCGCATAATTTAGAGGTCGCAGGTTGAATATCAGGGTCGGTAGTGAAGGAGCACTGCTGAGAGGCTCATACTAGACTGAAATAGTTGTCCAATGCTTCTTTCAATGCTACTTTCAACATTTCCCAAATTGAGGTCATTTTATGAAGAATATCACTTAAAGATATTGTTTTCTATTAATAATGAAAAATTTTGACTGATGAATCTGAAATAAGATAAAGCGAGCTTAATGAATTTACGTAAACTTTTTCTATTGAAATGGAGTATTTCAAAGTGGTACATATCATTAAATAACTGCAAATTTTTTCAATGTTCAATAAGACTCTCGTATCCAGCAGTTTTAAACATCTTTCTGTTGGTGAATAATTTTGATCAAAGATTTCATTCCAAGCGTCTTTAGTCTTCCACAACTATCTACTATGAACATGTCAGTGAATTGCAGCCCCAAATACCAAGTAATGAAAATTAGAGCTTGAAATGAATTTTCTGATGAAAATTACACTCTGGCATTCTGTATTTACCTACTAAATGAATGGAAAAATGTATAGAACTGCTTCGAATAGAAAATTCACTTCTCACTTCAAAGTTTACTGACAACTCTAGTGTTGTATCCCGAAGAGAATTGTGAATGGTAACTTTTGAAAACTATTTATGGACCAATGTAATATGTATATTTCCTATTGTATAATTTTTAAGTAACTAACCTAATCATATTCGTGTTCCTCTTATCATTAGCTGTATTTTGACCTTTGAACTATTATTATGCGATTCTTGAGTTATCATCAGTTTATTGATTACTTTCCCCCCCATTCACAGCCACATTTGGCTAAATATTGTACAAATGTTATTTTCTATTTTATGGTCTGTTTGGTTGGTATATAAACTCAGTATATTTGTGAATAATGATTGATACCACAGAGGCTGTTATTGGTTTTCTGGACTTAACTGACTGGGCTAAGCAGAAGCAGGACCGGTTAACACTCTAGACTGTTCGTACGATTTCGTGTGTCACTGTTCCAATCGATAATTCGCTGCTCTCTGATTGGCGATCTTATCACGTCACACATTAACTAGGCATCCACTCGGCCACAAGATATAATATTTAGTCTATTAAATTGACCACAATATCATTCAAGTGTTTATGAATTCTGTATTTAACTGTAATTCAGATTAGATCTTTCACATACAACTCATGTTTCAGTGATTAATCTATAATTACAATTACAAAATATTATTCCTGTTAATCTGCTGCATTTCAATTAGTTCAAATCCATCTTTAAAGAAACCAGGACATTCATTCAACCTTGAACAAAGCTAATTACCAAAAATAACTGTGAAGTAAACTAATTTAGGTCAGGTATTCAATTTGAATAATATAACAACATTATAATGCTTCGCTGTTTTTCATTGAACAATCATGATATCTTTAAAATTGAACACTAACTAGACTTAGATTTTGACAAGAAATGAGATCTTTAGTGCATGTTTCCATATCCCACTATTTGTTTGTATACACTGAACTCGTGTTCATTATCTTTCTTTCTCTTCAAACGTCAAAATGTAAACCTATTAAGTTACAGAGTCTGTACAGTTACTAACTTGTTTAAAGGGGTATAGATTTCTGCATGGATATAACTTAATTTACATTTATTTTTAATCCAAAAAGTGTAAAGTGACTTTTCAGTAAGGAAAATCGAATTACATTTCATGGATCTATGATAGAATTAATAAGAGGATATTTACTTTATTACAGATCACATCGAATCTCAGTCTATCTCTCTTTCATACTGAAATTGGACGCTTAATTGGCAGATATAATCTATTTACATAAAATCATATAAGAAAGTAAGAAATTGAGAGTGAGTTATCAATAGGATAGTTAGAATGGTTATTTATTAATTGGTAAGCTGGGTAAAAGTCAAGTCAATAACTCCATTTCGTTAAAACGAGATAGGATACTTTCAATGTTTGTTTTTTTATTTTAAAAAAGATTATAATACTGATAGTTACATGGCTCTTCTCAACAGTGAATAGTTAAGGTCCTAATCATTAATGAATAAACTAAGGTCAAGACGATTGTTAGTTGGTTTTTTCGCAAATGATTGTTATTGAGTATCACGGTTTGCCCACATATATTATATATGCATATGCCAGGCGTTGCTAATATTTAGTTTAGGTTAGTAAATAGTGGTTCTAATAGTAGTCAAGAGTGTTTGGTTAAGCCAGATCATATTCTCCCATTATCACTCCGACTCAAAATCTCCACCCAATGTTTCGCACATTTGTGAAACCAAGATGGCAAAAGAATACACTTTAACTGATGTCAGTTCGTGTTGAAAACACTGACTGTAATTAGTAAACCCAACTCAGAAATCCAAACTTCCTACAATACAACTGATGTCAGTTGGTGACGAAAACACTGTATAGAGTGGTAACCCCAAATCACAACATGAACCCGATTCTTGATATGCATTTATGTATGTGAACGTGACATTTTCATTTCACTACAAGTGATACTTTGACATGTGAGAGTTGATTATTCAGATCAAAGTTATTATTCCATTGACACTTCATTTGTTTTTATTGTTAGTTGTTTTATAACTAATCAGTGTTTCTTTACTGAATAAAAAATTGTCCAAGTTTTTGTCAGTATAGTACCATTGTCCTTCAAAGTAAGAATCAACATCTAATGGTAAATGATTAGATAACAGAAGCTCTCCATCGCAAAAATACAGTAACTGAAATATTTATTTTTGAGTAAAAAAATTTGTTCGTGTTTCTAATGTCAATCTATCGAACAGTTATTTAAAAGTTTGAAGTTTTCATCTGCTTATATCCAAAATGGAAATTAACCAGTTTATATTGTCATAAGTACATCCTAAGTATACTGTCTCATTATTATCATTTAGTTATGAGTTTTGGTAAAGTTTTACTGTGGCTAGTACTGGAAACCAGGATGTGTATTTTCATTTCATTTGGGATTACTTAGCAGTCTATAATTTTATTCGTGTTGATGTAGACAGAGAGATTCGAACCTTATGTTAGGCACTGGATTCATATTTCTATATTGGGCAATGTGTTTCAGAATCGGTGGAAATAACGCAAATACATTCACTTATCAATTTCATTTGGATTTTGAGTTTCGGTATTACTTTGCACATATTATTTCACTCCATCTTCTCAAAGCGTATTCTCATTGTTTAATCTTTCTCAGTTTCTGTTGCTCTTATAATTACTTTACTACTCATCTTACTAGATTCATCTTATCGTGCTGATGTAGTATGTGAACTTATGACCATTTACATTTGTCTCAGGGTATGCATTAATTATAACTGAATAATTGACTTACTGGGTTATGTTACTATTGGAATTTATTATTCATGGTTCTGTGATTTAAATAATAAAAGTACTTACAATAACTCATCTAGCTCTCCATTATTCAGATTGGAGGGTTGTGGACATTGAAATTCTCTTCAGTTCATAGATTACGTGACTTATATATTCAAAGAGTTAAATAGTTTATTGCTAATAGGGTTCTAAATTATTGATTAGAGTAAGAAACAGTTAGTTCGAATCAATATAGAGACTGTTTGAGTTCCGACCGAAATTTAAAATTTGATGACAGCTAGCTTGTACTGCATTAAGAGTTGAGTAAAACTTTTCCATATTTAGTTTTGTAGACGTCAAAAGACATCTGAATCCGATAAAGATTTTAACTGAAACGGTAATAACTCGTTAACAGTTCTTGACTTGTTCCGGCTATTAATTAAGGATGTTTTTGTAACGTCTTGATGTCCATTGTACTTTATGACCTAACAGATTAAGAAAACTAACTCTGGGTTTTTGGAATGTTTTCGTTTTTTCATAATAAATTGTTCGTTTGTGTATTCTACATTCTGGTAGACTAATGATGCGAAAAAGTTTAGCAAGGTTATCCTCGTGTCGTCACTCAAGGTTAATTACATTAAAATTACCTAAAAGCTGGGACTTGGATTTCAAAAAGTTAGTTCTTATTTTGAAATCTATTATCACCTAACCGATCTTGAGCTACAGGTTATTATCATTAGCCATTAAACACAATTAACATGCGATTCAAAGTACGGCCCACAAACTTGTAATCAATAAATAAATAACACTGCACTAAGATTATTATTTTGTGTCCACTCATATAGGCAATCGGTGATGTAACTGCTTGGATCGGCGAATACTCCATTCATTTGATAATTTCAAGAGAATTCTAGAAAATGGCGAATTGTCACGACGAGACAGATGCTAGAGTGTTTTCTAGAAGTTTATAGAATCCAATAAGTGCTCTAACTGTTCACATGAGAACTAACCTTTGAAGTAAAGCTTCTTCTCGTACTTTACTCCTTTTATCTTTCATACAGTGTTTCAGTATCGGAGATTTCAGGAGACTAGTAAATGATTAGAAAGTCAGTATATTAAATGTTGAATTATTAAACGTGTCAATGGAAATCAGGACAGTAAACTTCACTCTGGTTTATATTTCAACAATGAATTTTCCTCATTCATATTATATCGTAATTCTTTTCATACTTCAAAACAATCAAAAATTAAGAATTAAAAAGAGGAAATAGGAAATACATAAGTATCAATGTTCAATGAGTATGAACCTAATTGGCAAACAAAAAAGTTTTTCACATATACAGTATAAGTTAAGCTGAACAATGATAGCGACTCACGACAAAAGGTACAACGTAGAGAGAAAAATATCTGGTGAAAAGTACGCAACCTATTACTGTTAGTAGTAGTAGTAGTAACAAAAATAGTGTAAATGATAATAATAATAATGATAGTAATCAGCTCCTTAATCTTTGGTTCAACATTGGAAAATAAATATAAATATATATTGAAAGCAGTGAAGTATGTGACCATTTAAGTCCGATGTACAAATTACTGTAAGGCAAAATAATGATGAAATCGTACACAGGCTCACATATAGATATAAAACAGGAAATGAAAAAAAAGTTTTCTGATTAGCAAAAAGAAGGAAAAAAAAAGACAAAACAATGAAAGTCTTTTCCATGATCTATATGGGTTAATTTCACAAATGGGAGTAAGTTTGATTATAAAATGAACAGTTAAAGACAGTTTAATTGGATTTGAAGATACACACAAGAAAACAGATATCTACATACATATAGAGTTGTTTTCTTTGATGCAATCCTTGTAAAAAGAAAGACATTTAATAAGAACAAGAATCAAGAATACATATATCTGAATAATCTGTAATACACAACATAATACCAATATGGTATACAAATTTGTGCCTAATTAGCAAATAAAAATAAGAGGAGAGTTCAATGGATGATTCCAGAAATGTAACTATAAGATAATCAAATATGTATATATACAAATTGATTTTGTTTGTATATTATTTGACTTGTTTTTTTTTTATTTTAATGGAACTGGGGAATTATGTCGCCGTAAATGTTTACTAAGATGATCACTACGTGTAAAACGTCGTGGACAACGTTGGCAAATAAAATTACGTTCACCTGTATGAGCTCTACGGTGACGAGATAATTCATCTGAACGAGCGAATTTTCGATTACAATGATTCCAATCACAAATATATGGTTTTTCACCTAGAAAAGATTAAATTAAAAGAAAGGTAAAAGTGTACTATACTAACGAAAACTTGGACAAATTTTTATTCAGTAAAGAAACACTGATTAGTTATAAAACAACTAACAGTAAAAACAAATGAAGTGTCAATGGAATAATAACTTTGATCTGAATAATCAACTCTCACATGTCAAAGTATCACTTGTAGTGAAATGAAAATGTCACGTTCACATACATAAATGCATATCAAGAATCGGGTTCATGTTGTGATTTGGGGTTACCACTCTATACAGTGTTTTCGTCACCAACTGACATCAGTTGTATTGTAGGAAGTTTGGATTTCTGAGTTGGGTTTACTAATTACAGTCAGTGTTTTCAACACGAACTGACATCAGTTAAAGTGTATTCTTTTGCCACCTTGGTTTCACAAATGTGCGAAACATTGGGTGGAGATTTTGAGTCGGAGTGATAATGGGAGAATATGATCTGGCTTCAACTCCGCCTGTAGCTCTTCTAGAGTTAATACCGGTCTCAAGCTCACACAAAGGAGGAGGGTTGGGCATGGGGTTAGCGACCCCATTCCGTAGAAAAGCTAACTCGTTAAAAAACGTTAACCAGAAAAAATAATTCAAACCATTTAAACTCTGCCCTGGGAGTTGAAGGAATAATTATGACGTCTCGTGATGAAAGCCGAAATTTTTCGGAAGTCACGAGACCGATACCCCTTCTTACAACCAGAGCAACACTCTTTATAGGTACATGGAACGTCCGGACTATGTGGGAGACAGGAAAGACCTGTCAAATAGCAATGGAAATGAGAAAATACAACTTGGCAGTACTTAGAATCAGCAAAACTCATTGGACACAAACTGGACAACAAAGGCTAGGTACGGGAGAGATGCTACTGTACTCCGGTCACGAAGAGGAAAATGTTCCACACACTCAGGGAGTTGCTTTAATGCTGTCCGGAGAAGCACGGAATGCACTTGTGGGATGGGAATCTCATGAATCCAGGATAATCAAAGCATCATTCAGAACAAAGAAGCAAGGGATCACAATGAACGTTATCCAATGTTATGCACCCACCAATGATAGCAACAACGACGATTATAAAGATCAGTTCTATGAAAGGCTGCAATCAATTATAGCGAAGTGTTCAAAAAAGGACCTCACCATTCTGATGGGAGATCTGAATGCTAAAGTTGGAGTGGACAACACAGGAAAGGAAGATATAATTGAACGACATGGACTAGGAGAGAAATGAAGGTGGAGAGAGATTTGCAAACCTATGTCTCTTCAACAAATTGGTTATAGGCGACCCAATATTCTCACACAAACGCATACGCAAAGCTACATGGATCTCACCGGACCACACCACAGAGAACCAGATAGATCACATCTGTATCAACAAAAAATTCCGAAGATCAATGGAAGATGTGAGAACCCGGAGAGGAGCTGACATAGCTTCAGATCACCACCTGGTTGTGGCCAAGATGAGACTGAAGCTAAAGAAAGACTGGACAACTGGACAAACAGCACTACAAAGGTTCAATACAGCCTTACTTCGAGATACTGACAAGCTCCACGAATTCAAGATAACTCTCAACAACAGGTTCCAGGCTCTACAAGATCTACTGAAAGAACAAGAAACTACTTTGGAGGACAACTGGAAAGGGATAAAAGAAGCACTAACTTCAACGTGTCAGGAGGTTCTTGGTCCTAAGAAGCATCATCACAAGGAATGGATCTCTCTGGGAACCCTGGACAAAATTCAAGAAAGGAAGAACAAGAAACTAGCTATTAACAACAGCCGAACACGAGCAGAGAAAGTCAAAGCACAAGCAGACTACGCAGAAGCAAACAGAGAAGTGAAGAAAAGCATTAAAGCCGACAAGCAGAAATACATGGGAGAACTAGCAACGGCAGCGGAAAAAGCTGCAAGAGAAGGGAATATGAGACAACTATATGATACAACGAAGAAATTGGCAGGGAGATATAGCAAACCAGAGAGACCAGTCAAGGACAAAGAAGGAAAGACAATCATTGAGATTCAAGAACAGAGGAAAAGATGGGCAGAATACTTCGAGGAACTACTGAATAGACCAGCCCCATTGAATCCACCGAACATCGAAGCAGCACACACAGACCTTCCAATAGATGTCACTCCACCAACGATCGAAGAAGTCAAGATGGCCATCAGACAAATCAAAAGTGGGAAGGCGGCAGGACCTGACAATATACCAGCAGAAGCACTGAAGTCAGACATTGAAATAACTGCAAACATGCCTCACCTTCTATTCAAAAAGATTTGGGAAGAGGAACAAGTGCCAATGGACTGGAAAGAAGGATATCTCATCAAGATACCAAAGAAAGGAGATCTGAGCAAACGTGAGAACTACAGAGGTATCAGTTTGTTATCAGTACCAGGAAAAGTTTTCAACAGAGTGCTGCTGAATCGGATGAAAGACGCAGTAGACGCCGAACTTAAGGATCATCAGGCTGGATTCCGTAAGGATCGGTCGTGCACAGACCAGATTGCGACACTACGGATCATCGTTGAACAATCAGTTGAGTGGAACTCATCACTATACGTCAACTTTATTGACTATGAGAAGGCGTTTGACAGCGTGGACAGGAGAACATTATGGAAACTTCTTCGACACTATGGAGTTCCTGAAAAGATTGTCAACATTATCCAAAACTCATACGATGGACTACAGTGCGAAGTGGTGCATGGAGGACAGCTGACAGATGCATTTCCAGTAAGGACCGGAGTCAGACAAGACTGTCTACTCTCCTCATTCCTCTTCCTTCTAATGATTGACTGGATTATGAAGAATTCGACATCTGAAGGGAAATACGGAATACAATGAACTTCTCAGAATCAACTAAATGATTTGGACTTCTCAGATGACTTAGCCCTCCTCTCTCATACACACGACCAAATGCAGATGAAGACAGCAAATGTAGCAGCAGCCTCCGCATCGATAGGTCTCCACATTCACAAAGGAAAAAGCATGATTCTCAAATGCAACACGGAGAACACCAACCCAATCACACTTGGTGGTGAAACTCTGGAAGAGGTGGAAACATTCACGTACCTGGGGAGCATCGTTGATAAACAAGGAGGATCGGATGCAGATGTAAAGGCGAGGATTGGCAAAGCAAGGACAGCATTTCTACAATTGAAGAGCATATGGAACTCAAAACAACTCTCAACCAATTTCAAGGTCAGAATCTTCAATACGAACGTCAAGACAGTCCTACTGCATGGAGCTGAAACGTGGAGAACTACTAAGGCCATCATCAGGAAGGTACAAGTATTTATAAACAATTGTCTACGCAAAATACTCAACATCCATTGGCCGGATACTATCAGCAACAGCGTTTTATGGGAGAGGACAAATCAGCTTCCAGCTGAAGAGGAAATTAGGAAAAGACGTTGGAAGTGGATCGGACATACGTTAAGGAAATCACCAATGTGCATCACGACTCAATCCCTAACTTGGAATCCGGAAGGGAAGCGGAAAAGAGGAAGGCCAAAGAACACACTACGCCGGGAAATAGAAGCCGATATGAAAAGGCTGAATAGAAACTGGAAAGAACTGGAAAGGAAGGCTCAGGACAGAGTTGGATGGAGAATGCTGGTGAACGGCCTATGCTCCTCGACGAGGGGTAACAGGCGTAAGTAAGTAAGTAAGTAAGTAATGATCTGGCTTCACCAAACACTCTTGACTATGTATTGAATTGCATCAAGTACTTCAACGTACAATCTGGCTTAGGAGGAGGTTTACTTTGTTGCTTATCTTAAGCACCATCATAAATCCATTTTTCGGTTGCGTAATGCGTTTAACAACCAAATATTGCAAATTATCACCTTGTAAATAATAACACACGTTATTTATAACTTCAATTTAAATTTTGTACAAATTACATGAGGTGTTACCTTGATTCTGATTTGTTGGCTCAAGGTTGTCGGTATATATTATACTTTTACTGAAGGAAGGATGACAAAAATTTAAATTTATTAACACCATGCATTCTCTGAATTTTAAATGTTGTTGATCTTTGGGGCTTACTATACAGATCGTAGCTCGAAATAAATTTTATGAAACAAATTGAAAGTTAGCGACATTACGCAATCAATTATATTCAATGTCCTAGATGACTTGTTTATCCCGGTTTACTCACATTTAGAATTATAAGTTTGAGGAGGGCAGTGTAAGTTTACTGGAACTATGAACATTCATAATTGAACCGATAAATTGACTAGCTTTATAGCTAATTGCTCATTGAATAGTGCCCGTTTCATTTTTGTCAGACAAAATTCTATCGATTAAGTTGAAATGTGAACACGACTTCGAGTTAATTGACACCACGTAAACAATTCAAGCTGTCTAGCTTCAGATTGAGATGCTGTGTGATACGGGATTGAGTTATTTATGGAGCGTCAGATCTATTAAAGATTGCAAATACGCCTTGTTGACGAATGACAGCTATCATGAAAACTAAATCCAGGGTTTTCTATCAACTACCTTCAATCACCTAATGAGTCTTGTTCCACACATTACTTTTAAGTTCAGTCTTAATGACCTACTGTGAAACTCTTAACGTAGTGATTTAATAGTATGTATATTCATCACATAGACTTTCTATTAGTTCTAATGAGATATTATTTGTAGAGTCAAATAAGTCTATAATGATGACATTATTCACTGATAACGTAAGATGATAACTGAATTTATATTGTGGATCGACTGAATTTAGGAAATGTCAATACAAATTTTCTACTCACGGACTTTATAGTATTAAGCTTACAACCAAAATAGAATGTTAGTAAGTGTGAAAATAGGACGAGACCGATATTCTGTCTAACTGATATCTTCTTACGAGCTTCCATTTGCACGATTGATTATAGCTATATCACCTTATGTTCTCAAGTTATTGTATAGAATTTGAACCTTAAAACATTCCAGTTGGTTACATGTAATTTCTTATTTATGTATGGTGAGTCTTGATCATTTAATTCATGTATATGATCATATGAGTTTTTGAGTCAATGTGCAGAGTAAAGTGGCTGGTTTTCCTAGTGTTCTAGTTTGACAGGCTGTAGAAGGAGACAGACGGATTCATCATGAGTCACTACTAAACATTACGATATCAATTTAGAGAAACAAAACATTAATATCATTTGTTCAGGTACAACTGACCCTAGGTACATATAAGTTTTTCATTTTATTAATAAACCTGTGGAAAATTAATGTTTTAAACCTGAATATCAACAGTATGTAAAATTGATTAGATTTTTGAAAAGTCTCCTACCTGTATGAACACGGATATGAGCTTTGAGATGAGAACTTTTGAAATAAGCTTTTGTGCAACCATCAAAGTTACATCGATGAGATTTCACTCTTCCTAAGCCATTATTACGATTGTTTTTGTTATCAATATCAATAGGATTACTATTATTACTATCCACTGGAATAGTGAGTTTGGCAATGATTGCATTATTAGTATTAGTAATGTGTGGTGTCATCATAGTACAATATGAAACAGTTGAACAGTTCACATTTGAAAATACCAAATCAGTTGGTGCATCATGTAGTTTGATGCTTGATGTATCTTTAATTACAGTTGGAGTTAAATTTTGACAGTTTTGGTACACATTCGTACAACATTGTTCATTACATGATGGGCTAGAAATAATTGATAAATAACTGTCACGGTTTCTCTAAAATACAAAGATAAAATTGTTTTTTGACGATTTGATGAACAAGGGGTTTTCTGTGGAGATTTTTAGTAATTTTTATCTATAGTTGAAATCATGAGTCAATTGAAGCTAGACCACCGTGGAAAACCTTGAAGCACTGGATGGCCCTCTCGTCCTATTGTGGGACTCCTCAGCAGTGCGCATCCACGATCCCACCTCGCGAGATTCCAACCAAGGACAGGACCTATCAGTTTAGCGCCAGAGCATTTGACCGATAAACTACTGAGCGGACCGGCATCCAACGGTGTTAATGTCTAACTTCAACCAATCCACTAAGTTGAGCAACAATTTCATCAATGTCTTCAGTGAGTTGATGTCTCCCAACAGACCTGGTTGAACTCCACTGGTTACTGCTTCTCACTAGAACTCCAGGAAATACCTCATGGAGCCAGTCACTAGTGAGCATAGGACAAGGGGGTTGAAGAGTCCCACAATAGGACGAAAGCGCCGTCCAGTGTTTCCAGGTTTTCCGAGGTGGTCTAGCTTCAACTGACTCATGACTTCATGAACAATTGAAAATTATCAGTGATACTGATCAGGTTAAGAGATAATTACAGTTGTTTGAGAAACTTTAAAAAAATGATTTAAGTTAATTATAACAAATAGAGAGTTTTAAAACTTAATAAACATTTGAAAACAGATCCCTTCGCTGAACTTCGTGTTTTTAATTTTTAATGTTTAAATGGGAATTATATATCAATCGAAGAAATGAAAGGACCAAATGACGATGAAGGAACTCAATGGGTTCTTACGTCACACCGTCAAGCTTGCGTTAGTGAAATGTGAGATCAAGTTTTTCGAAAGCTGTATCGAAAGTAATGATTATCTTAATGATCCCCAACTGGTGCCTGTATGTAAAGAACGTACAACCTAAACAATTTTTGGACTGTATCTTAAATAATATAAATTCATATACCTGCCCTTGACATGTAACACTGTTATCTATATCAACCTGGTTGTGGTTGTAAATCGATATGCATTTTGTAATTTGCTTTCAGAATAATTTGATAACCGATTTCAGCATATTTCTTAGAAGCTTCGACATTACAAAGATTATTTGTAACTTTAGAAACACCTATTTACTGTATACGAACGAATGAACCACAAAATTAACTCAGTAGTTTAGTGGGTCAACTTAACGACATGACGGTGAACGGTGATAGATACTTCTTATTTGTTGCCTGAACAGTTATATAACCATCATTATCATCCTTAATAACATCACTGTTTTCAATCATTTTTGAACGTAAACCCTTACATCAATCAAGCCTGAACATAGCTGATAATACAACAGTTTCGACATTGGAATAAATGCTGAGTGCATTTAACTGAAGTTATAAAATAATATATTCATATCCATACACTTTTACGATAGGGAGCGCATACTACTTATTAAGAAGTAGTAGTGTCACAAAAACACCGATTACGTGAATGTTCCAAATAGGATTGATGAAGAAATACAAATGACAAACAGTTACAATCATATAGATCAAAAGTAGTGTGTCTGAGGATAGTGCTGACTATCAGCTGAAAACTGAATAAGTATTGAACTGTTGTTATTGATTTATTTAAAAGCCTTTTACTATACTGAGTATGTTTTTCTACTATCTAGCATTTCTAGAACACAATACTTCACTGGACTTTTCGTAAATTAAAAGCTGATAAAATCTATTCCAATAACCCAAGTGACAAAGATATAATAGTCAATTAATTACGGTTTATATAGTATCGTATTACATCACGGTTAGTCTACTAGAGCTGATTGGTTTGAAAATGAACCAGTTAACGTATTCTGATTTGAGGCTAACCAGAGATAGATAGAATTCTATCCTGCTAACAATTACATACTCCTTAATTTATACAGATTTGAACCCAATATGTATCAAGATTTGTTTGATATTGATAGTTTAAATTCTAGTCAAAAACTTGATTTTCTTCTAATCCTATCAACACTTTCCAGAATAGTTTAGGAATTATCATTCCTCATAAGAAAAGTAAAGAAAAAAGATAAAAGAAACTTACAGATGTTATTGTTTCATTCATAGGTTGTCTATCAACCATTTTATCATAATAATAAGTTAGTGTACATTGAGGAATATCATTTAAATCATATCGTAAAAGCTGTGAATCTGAATTAGATGATCGAAATGTATCATCTGTTTTCGTTGATGATGATAATGATGAATGCACTAATGTTGTAAGATCAGAGTTAGTATGAAGTAACCGATTCAAAATGTATTGGTGTTGTTCAACACTGTTGTGATTATCATTTTCACAATTTAAAGACGTAGAAGCTGTAGGAGAAAGTTCACAATCATTCCAAAGAGTAAAACTAACTCCGTTATCGGATTGTTGATCAATAATACATTGATTTGTTTGATTAATCAATGGGATATCCTTAGTATCAGAAGAATTTTCATCCATTTGTTGAAATGACTTAGTTGGCAGGTGAGATTCATCAGTAATAATAGGTAGATTATTTGACCAATTAGTGTTTAAATTATTCATAGAAGATTGATGATTGTAGAAAGATACTTGTTCTTTGCTTGGTGTTTCTAAAGGAGGATTTGATACCTAAGAGTATTTTTTGAAAAGTCCAAGGAAAAAAAATACACAAACATTAAAGTAAATACAGTCATATTCGATTATTATTTAAAATGGTAATGACTACCAATGAGTTGAATGAATAAAACATTGATTGTTGAAATTTAATTAGTTATTATCACAAACTTAATGTTCAAACGCTTTATTAGTAAACAAGTATTTAAGATTTTAAGTAGCTATCAGGACTTAGAGGTCGAGTGGATAACTAGGTGGCGTTTGAAGCGAAAAGTACTGGGTTCGAGTCACAGAGTGAACATCAACTCTGAGATGCAGGTACATCCAGCTGAAGAGTCCCAAATAGGACGAAACGCGCGTCCCGGATTTCACTGCTAGCCACTATCCATCTTTGCTTACCATATTTAAGGTTTCGTCTATCTAAAGAGCACTGATAATTTTTAAATATAGGGGGTTTACAACTCCACCTGTATCTCTTCTAAAGTTACTGCCAGTCCCAAGGCTCGGTAAAAGAGGGGGGTTGGGCATGGGATTAACGACCTCATTCCGTAGAAAACTAACTCGCTAAAAAATCGCTAATTGAATTAAACAATTTAAGCCATTTAAACTCTGCTTTGAGAGTTGAAGGGAGAGTTATGATGTCTCATGATGAAAACCGAGATTCTTCTGAAGTCACGAAGCCGATACCCCTTCTTACAACCAGAGCAACACTCTTTATAGGTACATGGAACGTCCGGACTATGTGGGAGACAGGAAAGACCTGCCAAATAGCAATGGAAATGAGGAGATACAACTTGGCAGTACTTAGAATCAGCAAAACTCATTGGACACAAACTGGACAACAAAGGCTAGGTACGGGAGAGATGCTACTGTACTCCGGTCACGAAGAGGAAAATGTTCCACACACTCAGGGAGTTGCTTTAATGCTGTCCGGAGAAGCACGGAATGCACTTGTGGGATGGGAATCTCATGAATCCAGGATAATCAAAGCATCATTCAGAACAAAGAAGCAAGGGATCACAATGAACGTTATCCAATGTTATGCACACACGAAAGATAGCAACAACGACGATTATAAAGATCAGTTCTATGAAAGGCTGCAATCAATTATAGCAAAGTGTTCAAAAAAGGACCTCACCATTCTGATGGGAGATCTGAATGCTAAAGTTGGAGTGGACAACACAGGAAAGGAAGATATAATTGAACGACATGGACTAGGAGATAAATGAAGGTGGAGAGAGATTTGCAAACCTATGTCTCTTCAACAAATTGGTTATAGGCGACCCAATATTCTCACACAAACGCATACGCAAAGCTACATGGATCTCACCGGACCAAACCACAGAGAACCAGATAGATCACATCTGTTTCAACAAAAAATTCCGAAGATCAATGGAAGATGTGAGAACCCGGAGAGGAGCTGACATAGCTTCAGATCACCACCTGGTTGTGGCCAAGATGAGACTGAAGCTAAAGAAAGACTGGACAACTGGACAAACAGCACTACAAAGGTTCAATACAGCCTTACTTCGAGATACTGACAAGCTCCATGAATTCTAAGAGCCATGAAGGATAGCTTGAAACTAACTAAAAGATAGGTACGGAATGAATATAATTTACCAATATTAGCCACTGATACGTCTAATATTGATAAACATGATGGCAGAAGTAAAGTACTTGGAAGAACTACTCAAATTTCGGTCCGAAATTCATCTTTGTACTATAGCTGATTGTAGTTTGTGATAAAAACCCTAACAACTCATGCACAAGTATTCATTATTCATAAAAAATCTGTGCAATATATTCCTTTCTTTATAGTAAGTTATTTTATCACTAAGATTTGCATTCTCGCTGGCTAAAATATAGTTTAAAGTCATCCATATGCTTTACTCCCACCAACATGAAAAAATAGAGAACTCTAGGGACGACATTCAGTGATTCTTTGGATCTTGACGAGAAAGAGCTCTGTAGTTTTACACTGATCAATGGGTATTCTTAGGCTTACCCTAATTCCTAATCGTAATCATAACTTACAGGCCTTACTCGTATACATAACTCTTTTTCATTTAATTTAATAAATAATTCAGCCTGTAACAATGCCACATTATTCATGACAAAATTGTTTAGCCATTCTGATTTAATCACTTTCTTAGCATAAATTGTTTTACAACTAAGTACTGACTTCTGATTAGTTGATGGGTCGTCCAGGGTCAGAGGTATCGTCTACTTCTAATCGAAGTAATTAAAGGGTGAAAATAAACTCCACTCTCGTTTCCAATTTTGAACTTGCACCTAACAACCAACCAAAATGAATCGGGAATTATTATTTAGTATTTTCACAATTGAAATCATGAGTCAATTGAAGCTAGACCACCATCGAAAACCTGGAAGCACTGGACGACCGTTTCGTCCTACTATGGGACTCCTCAGCAGTGTACTACTATTACTTACACTATCATAATCAGTGATGGAGGGCGTATTTCATTCTCCATACTTTATGCTGGCTTACATGGAAAATATAGTTTTCTATGGCGAAAATACCACTCCATCCTGCTATGGACGTGTCAAGTGTAGGGCAGTCAGTAATGATGGAAGAAAACTTAAAATTTGGAAAACGTCATACCTCCAATTAATTCTACAATAAAGATTATTCCAAAATATTTACAATTGAGTAATTAAATCAACGAAAACATAACCGTAATTACTAACTACGATACACTTAGATGACTTGACAACGTCGAGTTTATCCCCGGCCCAATTAAATTATTACAAAGTAAGAAGTACTTTAAGGGAGATATTTTAATTTAGAATATGTAAATAAACTTTGAAAAATTACTTTTTATGGAGTGCACTAAGTATTGTGATAAACTTTAGAGGTAGATTTCAATAGGCTCATCTGTAAATATGGTCTGCAGTAAACAAATGGAAAATTTAACTTGGCGACGATGTACAGTTCTTTAATTAGTTGACACGCTCTAATCGAGTAAAACGTTTCATCAAACTGAGATATAAATAATAGGTTCTCAGTAAAAAAATAACCGGTGAGACTGGTGTTTATGGACAACTTGAACAATTTACTAGGTTCGAAATAGGGTTATAAATTAGCAAGAATTAAAATTAGGATTTAGGTTTTTCACCATATTCTGATATTAGATATAATGTCAAAAATGAATGATATCCATTCATTCATATGAATGAATGGATTCAATACGCGCAGTCTTAGACCTGGTCGGTTAAAATCATCAAATTGTAATTCATCCATGAATAGATCCACTGTTGTTCTATGATTTAAAACTGAATAAAAGTGGGTTTAAACAGCCTATATCAACAATAGGAAAAGATTTTTCCAAACTATTCAATGATGTTGTCATTAACCTAATTTTTCAAGAGGTGAGAAGTCAATATATATATATATATATATATATATATATATATATATAACCTATGATAAAATACAAGTCTACGGACTAAATAGAAGTATTAGGCTGTTCTATTGACTTCATCTTCCAATGTTCATTCTTAAAATATTATTCATAATGATAAAAATATTAATACCTAGTATAACTAACTCACTTGCAAATTAGGTGTATTCAAGATAGGATTAAATGAACTGACATTTTGATGAGGACTAGTTTCTGGAATTTGTTGCACCTTATCGAAATTAATTGATGATTGTGACTTTTTATTCGTTAAAGATTTAATTCGGTGAAGTTTAAATTTTATATTCCGATGTAAATTTTTATCTAATGATGTTAAGTAGGATTGAGATTTATTCCTTTGTTCATTTTCTTCTGTTTTTTGTATAACCGACTCTTTAAACATATTTCGATGATATTGAAAACAATAAGAATTTTGGTTTATTGATAATTTATTTTGTGGAAATATTGAACCTTTGGCCAGTGATAATAAAACTTCAGCAGCTTGCAATTCATTAATCTGTAAAACAAACCTCGCATAATTAGTAAAAAGAAAAAAAAGAAAACGATAGTAAATATACAATGTTGTTTGAAATAGTTGAAAACTAACTTTATCGAATCCCGAATCCACTGTCGCTCCAGGTAAGGATATAGATTCGTATGCTATACCCATGAGTGAAACTAGAGCTCGCGTGGTATTTTAGATGAACTGACGCAAACTTATAACCACGTTAATTTATCATTTGGCACGCCCCATCAATTGTATCCGATATTAAGCTGACCAATGAATAGACTAAGGATATTAAATATTAATTAGTTCAGCCAATCAAAATTGAGTCAGCTGGCAGTCACGTATTTAGGGCGTGTCAATTACGTGGATGTTTGTCCTTGAAGTGGTCAAGGTCATATGATCTAACTTAAAAATATACATTACAATCATTGGTTAATTATTTTGTGGGTGTATCATTTATTTTTCATACCCGAAAACCGTGATACAAAATCACAAAAATGAGCGTGATTATAGTGTTATGTCGTAGTGAACTCTACTTTTAGTGAAACATGTAGTGAATATTTTGATTATGTTGATAATTGTCTGTTGGCTGAACTCTTCATTCTAATGTTTGTAGTAAATTAAACGATATTGATGACCAATCTTTAGTATATTTGGTGTTTGTGATTGTAGTTACGTTCGTTAATAAACCTTTTCAGTCATAAAAGTACACTACGTAAATTTTCAGTGCATAAGTCATTTATCCAGTGACAGATAAATTTACTTCAGATGAAAACAAGTTTAATTTATCTCGAATATTACGCAAAAGATGTTGAATCTTTGAATAACACCTAAGAATTGTCAATCGAATAATCTGATAATTCTATTAATTTATGTGGGTTGTTATTGAATTACATTGTGATTAGTCAGTGTATGGTTGTAACAATTAATGATATAGACACAGGTTTCAGTTCGGAATTATGTTATGGTGAATGAATCCCAGTAAATATAAATTAGTTTCAAAGTTTTTTTAATTATTTCTTTAAAACGTATGGTCCTATCTATATTTAGCTCCTTAATTCAAATTCACTGTACGTTGTTTCAGTTTTCATTCATAGCTATCAAGCTTATTTTGTTATGAACTAAAATTTCAAAGGAAGGAATCCGCAGATAGCCTGTGCATTGGTCCACTCAATATCAAGATACTATTGTTATACAGTTATCTCATCTATCTATAACTGAAATCCAAAAAAAAACTATATAGATTTCTCATTTTTGTTTTAAACTTTGGAAAAATATCTGGTCTTGTGAAGTTGGTGTTGTTTCTCTTTAATTTGTTATAAGTTCAGTTTCAATCACCAACTTAGTTGTAATTCAGTGAATGGAAATCGTCGACTTTCATTTATTAATCATTTAATAAGTGATACGTCTTGTAAGCTGAACGCTATATTCATATCCTAAGCTATTCTGATAACCCCAGGCTAGAACTACTCAGCGACTTGAACACCAGGGAGAAGACTCGAGTATGAGAGGAAACACTTTACTGCAAGGTTCATTTATGTACAGAAAATACGGGGATTTTATAGTAATTAAAAGACCTTTAGTTTACATAGTAGCAGTGTGTTAATCAGCCAATCAGGATCTCGTTATTTTAGTAACATAACTTCACACAACTTCTAATTAATCGCTGATTGGTTGGGGTTCTTTATGAGCCTCTGGAGGCTCTGTTAGAGTTCTCTGGAAGCCGACTTAATACCTGTGAACCATCCTCACATTAAGATTCTCGATATTGATAAGCAGTAGAAGCCAGAATAGTTGTTTTTATCTCTCTATGGAAACCTATCTTCTCATTAACATTCAAATACATTAAGGTGAGGACTACCAAAGCAGATGGGAGCTTGTAATAGCCAAAGCTACATCTGTGATGAGAATATAAATATTTATCTCAACGTAGTTTAAACCCTTTCACTGTTACAAATATATATTGGTCAGTTTTCCTTTCACTTACACCACTTAGTGGAATGTTTTCAAAATTTACCTTTTTTCAGAAACCGCTCAAGAAAAGAAATACATTTTTCTGATAGAGTTATGAAGTTTAAAATTTTATTGAGATCAAAAAAAAATCTCACATTTCAGATTAACATTAAAGTTTTTAAAACAATAGTGTATATAATGGGATATAGGATGTGTGTTTTGTGCTATTCAGACAGGACACATCAAGTAAATCATATCGCATCAAGGAGCATGTACATTAAGGAAGGTTAATGAAATACAAAGGGAAAATACTCTTATAACTAGTAATAAATAGTATATCTGTTGATGTTGGCAGTCGTGACTCAGTACATTAGCCTATATATTTATGATTAAATGCATTAGTTTGTAATTATAATACTTTCTCATATTATCGAATTGATATTCATCAACGTAATTAATTATAATAGTCAGACTATTTCTATCTTATTAAACAGTCACTTACATGTCAACTAACAATTGAATTGAATTCAAAATATTTTTATTGTCTCAATTAGTTACAAAGCTTTAAATAATAGATAGATAGATACTAGACAGAAATATAGAAAAAAAAATTGGAAACCATAATATTGGAAGTAAATAAACAACAACAACGATAATTAAAAAAACGAAACATGATTTATTCATTTATCCATTTATTATTTGAAATATTGAATCAATGTATTTATTTTCAATTTATGTCAATCATTTAATTAATCAATAATTATTATTGATTTTTATTATATTTTGGCACGTATATAATTAAAATGTTTATAACATGATTTCAGAGAAAAAGAAAGAATGTTGACGAGATTTCAAGAGAGTAAGACAAATTGGATCATGGAGAGTTTTGAAAGCTAAGAGAATTATTGTTAAATAAATATTATCAGAAGGGGATTTTTGTAGAGATTTAGTATTTTTATAGTTGAAAGCGTGAGTCAATTGAAGCTAGACCACCAGGGAATACCTGGAAGCACTGGATGGCCCTCTCGTCCTATTGTGGAACTCCTTAGCAGTGCGCATCCACGACCTTGCCTCGAGAGATTCGAACCCAGGAACTATCAGTCTTGCGCCAGAGCACTTAACCGATAGATCACTGAGCCGGCATCCAACGGTGTTAATGTCTAACTTCAACCAATCCACGAAACTGAGCAACCGTTCACCAGTTATCTTCAGTGAGTTGATATCTCACAACAGACGTGGTTTGAACTCCACTGGTCACTGCTTCTCACTAGAACTCCTGGATTTACCTTTTGAAGTCAGTCACTAGTGAGCATATGATTATTATTATCAGAAGAGGTTTTTTGTGGAGATTTAGTATTTTCATAGTTGAAAGCAAGAGTAATAAATATTGTTTTAAAATAAACTACATTTAATGTATAAATAATGAAATGGGAGAAATTATGTCATTCATTTAAAGATTTGTTTTATATACTTTAATGATTATGATAATTTTATTTCAGAGGGGTTTTATGTGGATATTGTAGTTGAGATCATGAGTGAATTAAAGCTAGACCACCATGAAGAACCTAGAAGCACTGGATGGCCATTTCGTCCCATGGTGAGACTCCACAGCAGTGTTCATCCACGATCCCGGTCCTGTCCATTGCTTCCAGGTTTTCCATAGTGGTCTAACTTCAATGGACTCCTAATCTCAACTATAATTTTATTTCTGTGTAGGATTGTAAAAATGTGTAGTTAAAATCTTTTGTATTAGTATAGAGAGAAGTATGATAATTTAACTACTGTTGTCGATATTACTATTTTAGGTAACCATACTGACTATTTTAACTCGGAGATATTGTTTAAAGTATTCTCAAAGAGATATTGCTTAATAGGTGTTAAAAAGATTGGTGATATATATATATATATATATAATTGGTTAGTTTTAGAGATTTTATTACTGAATTTAAGGTACATTAAATAAGCGTACAGTTGTGATAGTGAGTATTGAATTCTTTTTCAAGCTACACTGAAAACACACATGGAGGTCAACATTTTCTCAGGAGAATATCACATTCACTTTAATGCAAACACATTGACATATGAGTTATATTGGATCGATTTTATTATACCACAAGTTATTAAACTAAAATGGGATATTATTTTTGAGTTGTTCCTTGCGTAATCCATTTTCAGATGAATGCTGTTTGAAGATGTAATGGTGGAGATCTCACTGAAACAGTTATCAAAATAAAATATCTCCACAAAACTTTTATCCAAATAAGCATCAGTTGATCACTAATTATATACTTCGAGTAATTTTCCAAAAGTCTTGGAGTAAAGCCATGGTCTGTAGCGTTCAATCATCTTGTAAGTAGGATAGTTAGCCGCTATGGCAATGAATGATGACCTCTCAATATTTTGAACTGACTGAAGTTGAAATATTAGATGCCAAATTAGTGATCAAAGATCACAGTAAACTGTTAACCTCTGATGTGTGGGAATAAACAGATTTTCATGTTTAGTTAATTTGGGGCACGTGAGATCAAACCGTAAGACAGGAAACAATTTACTGATCTATTCCGAATATTGATCAACTCACCTAGACTGTCTATGTGGTACTAACAACCTTCGGCTAACCAATGACAAGGTAAATTTGAAGTAACAATCAAGAGTAACACCAGATGACTATTGTCCCAGAATACGGTTTCACACCCTCACTCATTTGATAGCCAGAATAGACCATGCCTCATCAAACTGTTAACTACAGTTCGAATTTATAGATCATCTATGCAATGTTATGGAGAAAACTACTGGGCGCACATCGACAGAATTAGGAAATTACAATATGAGCACAACCATACCATAAGTGGAAGAGGACTGAATGACAGGTATACAATAAATTAAAATAACCTGGGAAAGGTAGAACACAAAACGATATTTTTATTATCGAATAAGAGCTTAAAATTTGGGGAATACAAGAATATAATATTTATTTAGTAATAACACCAAGAATATAAAAAAGTAACTTCAGACAGGACTGATCAGAAAGTTCGTTTTTGACTCATAATTATCAAGAGATGATAACCTAAAATTTGACAGAGAATTCAATACAATGATTTAATCAAATAACTTCTGAAATAAATAGATTTCTCTTGATTTAGTTATTAAAACGTTTACTTACTTTTTCGATTTCTATTTACAACTTATTTTTCTTAAATTTATACTAATTTATCCATGAACATTATCCAATGTCGTGTTATAGTGTGTTCAGTGTTGGTGGGATTCCTTAAATCAAATCACTGTTCTTGAAATAATGATGTAATAT